GTAAGGCCAGCCCAGCAGTGTTATGACCTCTCCACAGATGGACTGTCCAACCTTGATGGGTAGAGATGGCTGGGGACCAGGCGTAGGTGATAGGACTCACGTCCACATGATCCAACAATTCCATCGCCCATCAGGCAGCCTATTGGCCTCTTTCACTGTGACACCTAACTTGCCAGAACTGCTGTCTACTCGGAACTAAATCACCCGAGCAGGTGTTGTACCGCCACCTCTACCCTGCTCTGTCCTGCCTGATAAGATCTGTACTTACTGTGCCCATCACAAAGATGACCAGACCCAGGAAGCCTTTCTGGAACACAAGCTGACGAGTCACTTTTCTCAGCCCTGGAAATGTCTCAGAGGACCCCTATTGAGTCGCTGTACTATCCCTCCTTGTGAAAAAATAATCCAAACACACAGCAAAGCCTGAGCATTAAACAAGAGCCTCAGGTGATTCGGGACTTCCATCCAGTTTGAGGAAGGAGCTCCGGTGACCTGGCAGCAGCAGTGAAGTGCTGGGATGTCAACCAAAAGGGCGATGGTATGAACCCACCGGAAGCTCAGCAGGAGAAAGATGCAGCGATCTGCTTCCTGAAAGATCACAGCCTTGGAAATCTCCTGGGGCACTTCTAGGGAGGGCCAATGCGAATCTGCTCAACTGCAACTGAGTTCCACTTGGAGACGCTCTGACCTTGACTGCTCATGAGAAAGATGGAGCTCTCTAGTCCCGTGAAGCGGTGCAGCCTTGGAAACCCACAGGGGCAGTTCTATTCTGTCCCCGAGGGTAACTATAACTGGAAGGTAAGAAACTTGTTGTTGTTGTTGTTGTTGTTAGTTTGAGATCTTGACTGCACATCTCACTGAATGTCAATCTTCTTTCTTGCTCCAGCTAGGGTAGGTGTTAGGGGTGTGGCATGGCGACAGAGGATGTCACCAGGCCCACCCCCACCCACCCCTTTCTCAGGACATTTAAAGGAGTAACTGAAAGACAGATGGGGATGTTCTGCCAGATAGGGACTACCTAGTGCCGACATCACCACCTGAAGCCCACATTTTCGCCCTGGGAGCCTCTGAAGACCTCTCTGGTCCCTCCGTCCTGAGGTAGGTAGGGCCCTTCTGGAGGGGGTGGTGGTGGTGGTGGTGGTGGTGGTGGTGGAGGTGGTGTGGCCCTAGAGAGAGAGAGCCATGTCCCTGCAGAAGACACCTGTGCCTTTGGGGGCAGGACCACTCCTCCAGCAGGAGGTTGGTTGACTTTCTTGGAGCTATTGGTTAATAGCTTCCCTCAGATTTGTCATTATTTCTCTAGGTAATTTTTTTCCCCCTCAAATACTGTCATGTAGTGGTGGCAGAGCCTGAGCCCACTGAGGCTTGGCTCTAGGGCTTGTTGGGAAGGCTGCAGGCTGGCCATCACTGTACGGCAGTGGTCTTCAAACTACAGGTCGAGGGCCCAATCCCGCTGACCACCCACCTTTGTCTGTCCTACGGGCACCACTAGAAGATCAGGGAGAAGTGGACAGCAGATACCTTGCTTTGATTTAGGGCAGGGGTCCTCAAACTTTTTAAACAGGGGGCCAGTTCACTGTCCCTCAGACCCATTGGAGGGCTGGACTATAGTTTAAAAATAAACTACTATGAACAAATGCCTATGCACACTGCACATATCTTCTTATTTTGAAGTAAAAAAACAAATGGGGCAAAAACACCTAGTGGGCAGGATAAATGCCCTCAGTGGGCCGCATGTGGACCACAGGCCATAGTTTGAGGACCCCTGATTTAGGGGCTGTCTTACCCATGAACCCAAACATTTCCTGTAAAGTCCCTGACCTGGGCTGCTCCTCCCTGAGGTGTTTCTTTCACCCAGACAGGCTAGCTGTTTTCTTTCCTGGAAAAGGCTGGCTTGCTGGATGTGAATTTCCAAAGATGTGGCTGGTGGAGGGCCACAGCCAGCCTTCTGATCAAAGAGGAGTCGATCTTAGTAAATCAGGGAGGGGAAAGGTCAATCAATCGTGTCAAGATGAGCCAATGGCTGAGTTTCTATATTTCCCCTCATTAGTGGCACAGCATTAGGCTGATAACTGCCAGTTTGGTGGTTCAAACTCACCAGCTTCTTAGTGGTAGAGAAGATGGAATAGTCTGGTCCCATATACATACATGCTGGTCCCTTCATGGGGCAGTTTTGCTCGGTCCTAGAGGTTACTATGAGTCTGAAACCTCTTGGCAGAAAGGGTCTCCGGTATGTAACTTTTTTGAGCCACTCGCTTTTTCTGGAATCATCCCAATCCCCCTGAGGAGTTCTAAAGGACTGCTTCAGCACTGGACTGCTGGCAGTGAGGCCAAAGCGCCAGGGACTCCTCGGGAGAAGCCAGGGCTCTGTACTCCAGGAAAGAGTGACCATCTCAGAACCTCACAGGGGCAGGTCTACCCTGTCCTATAGGGTCACTGTAAGTCAGCATCGACGCCAAGGCAAGGAGTGAGAAGGAGTTCTAGTGGCTTAGTGGGCTAACTGCATGGAGCTACTGACTGCACGGTCAGCAGTTCAAATCCACCATCCGCATCATGAGAGAAAGGCTATCTTCTCCCGTAATGATTTACGGTTTCAGAAGCTCCAAGAGGCAGTTCTGCTCTGTGCTCTATGTTGCCATGAGTCCGAATCAAGTCCATGGCAGCAAGGTTGTTCTCTTTGGTTAAGAGCCTACAGAAGAACTCCTCCGAATAAACTTCACCTTCATGCTCTGTTGCAGTTCTATTATTTTTAATAAAGGAGTAGCAAATGTGCTTGACACAACGGGTGGATGTAAGGATTGTGATAAGCATCGTACGAGCCCCCAATAAAATGATTTTAAAAATAAACAAAGGGGTAGTGCAGGGAACCATAGAGTCCATTGGGGGTTCTGTGAGCCATCTCCAGGAGTGGGGGTTCCCTTCTAGGGAAAGTGACCTGGTCATGTTGCATTCTACAAAGGTCTCTCAGATCGGTTGATGTGGGTCCCATCTTTGTGATGGGAACAGTAAAGTAGCGACTCCAGAACAGAAATCCCAAGGGAACGTTGCCCCCATTCCCAGCTGCCTAGCAGGATACAGCAGTGTAGATGTGGGACTACACCCCTTGCTTGGGGGGGTGAGCTAGTTCTGTGCAGATAGCAGCTCTGCCGGTGAAAGGTCCCCGTGGGCTGCCTGATGGGGTGATGAGATGGTCCGGTCACGCGGACAAGACTCAGTTGATTCATGCATGTCAGCAGACCAGTTCTAAAGCAAATGGCTCAAAGAAATTCAGAATTGTGAGGCTGGAAAAGGAGAACCCAAAACAGGATGCACTGCCACCAAATGAATTCCAACTCACGGCGAAGCCAGCACAGCCATTCTGTTCTGAGAGGGGTTGAGGGGGTGAAGTCCAGCGAGCCACGAGGAGAGCAGCATGCCCCAGCAGCCTGCCCGGACACCATGGCCCACTGAGCACACTGAAAGGGAGACAGGGGGGCAAAGCATCTGTGACTGAATCCCTTGAGATCTGCGAGTCCAATGTGCTGTGTCACTGGTAGAGCACAATGTCTCTTCAGTCTTTGAACTCATGACATTAGCATTGGCTCCACCTGTCCCCAGTGAATAGCCAAGTTCTCCCTGGCACTCTCTCTCCAATTCCTGGCTTAGTGCCCAGCTCCTGAGTGGGTGCTTCTGGGCCCTTATCCCAGCTGTGACTCTATATGATGGTGCCAGGTCACTCCCCCCTCTTCAGGGGATGTTGGAGCACCAGGTCTCCATGGCTCTTCTGCTGACAGCGGTCACCAAGGGTGTACTGGCCAATCCTCTTGAGATGCCGGCTCTCAGATCTCCTGCAGACCACCACCTGGCACATGCCAAAGCAAAGGCACAGCCTGTTGCTGCCCGGTTGGCTCCACCTCATGGTCGCAGTCCTCTGCATTCCAGCCGAGAACTAATTGCACCATCATGTTTTCCGTGGCTGTAGTCTCTGCAGAAGCAGATCACCAGGCCTTTCTTTCACCTTGCACCTGGGTGGGTTGAGCCACCGCCTTATTGGTTCATAGTTGAACCCACACTGTCTCCCTGCATTGTTGTTTCAGGGTGTTTCAGGTGAAGACACAGACCCTAAGAAACTGCTCGGACTTTTTCTGCATCCGCTGTGACTTCCTTCTCTCTGTCCCTGTTACCACTGCTAAAGCCACTGTGCCTGGAAGCCTGGGATTATCCTGAGATGCGGGCCCAAGTGGCTTCATGGCTTTTTGCCATGTGGCAATGGACTGGGCAGACAATCATCAGTCAGGAGCGCATGTGTAGCAAGACTTAGGCCAGTCTGGCAAGGCAAGGTCACATGGAGTTATGAGACTGACTGGTTTACGAGTGGAAGAGGGAGCCACCAGAGGGCAGCCCACAGCCACAATGCCAGGAGATGCTCCCAGCCCTGCGCTTTGATGTAAGATGGCTGCTTGCAGTCTGTGGAAGAGCTGCCGAGCCTCATCCTGCAGTTCACCAATGGGCAAGGAGAGGTGGTCCTTGGCTGCCACCACTGTCAACCAGGAGGGAAGCAATGAATGGGCCTCAGGACTCTTCTCAGCTGGGGATCCAGAGGAGCGAATCATAGGGCTCCTCTGCTGTGCTCAGACCTCTGTTTAGGGAGCAGGTTCTAATGAGGGCAGCCTGGTTATTTGCCTCATCTGAGCTATACCCAGCCCCATTTGTTCAGGGAGAAAGCATCAGGGCTGGGAACAGGCAGCAGATGTATTCAGGCCAACATCATTGGATCGTACTGCATGCTAATGTGAGTAGGCAATCAAGGGACTTCCTTGAAAATAAAAATCTTCTGAGTATTACCTGCCTGTTGCTGCTAACTTTCCCCCAGTGTATCCTACAAGAGCATTTGGAGTCTGACAAAGATTTGACCCCAAATTTCTACAAGCATGCTAAAAAGTGAGGCTTCTTTCTATCCAAAGTCTCCTATCACAAGTGCATCGCTGGCCACAGTGTATTCAGAGACTTCAAAGAGACCATGCCATTTCACGCATTTATTATAGTCAATACAGGATGCTGAACTACAATTCAAGCTGTTATATTTACACATGCAAGCAAAATAATCTTTTAATCCATTGAAAGTCGCAACTTACCAACTGGTTTTCTAAAGGCAGCCTAGATGCTTATGCAGGATCTCACTGACTCCTATGAGCCGTGTGGGGACTCTGGGCGGCAGGAGCAAGGGAATCCCAAACCGTTTGGAGGGTGAGCATTGCTTGGCTTGTAGCCATGTAGAAGAAAGCCAGAGAAGCCTGTTGAGTGATTGTACCTTTCCCCCTGGCTACCATGATCCTAGAAGTCACCTATTTATATGATAGGTTGGAAAAGGTCCAAGACCCACTTTTCAGATGAGCAAACTGAGGCACCAAGGTGCACAAGGTTCCCAGGAGAGTGGCCTGGTTATTTGGCTCTGTTTGCTCCTCCATCTACCTGGTGGCTCTGAGCTGTGCCCAGCCCCATTTGTTTATGGAGAAGCAAACTTTCCACAAAATAGGATGGTGTTGGTGTGAGTGTGCCTTATGAAGAACAGGAAGGGGCGATTGGCCAGGAACTGAGCTCGGATGGGAAGTCTCTTCACTACAATGACGTCCCCAGTGGCCGCGGCAGCCTCGGTACCCGCCTCATTGACATCCACATATGACTTGTGGATGACCTTGGATAGGTGCATTGTCTTAGCTGGGGACATTCCCGAAAGATCAGCTTTGCGCTGGTCAAAGATGTCTGTCATCCCAAGAGATTTCAACAGAGAGTTCATCTCGTAGGTCATTTCAAGTTTGAACCGGGGGATATGCACCTCCACTTCTCTTTCCATCAGGTTGGAAGGGCTGGTCCACTGCTGGAAGGTCTTCAGGTTCAGCTGCTCCTCAATCTAAGAGACAACACACAGGTGAGCCTTGAGCCGCCAGCACCTGGGCCTCCAAATTCGAGGCTGATCATTTTCTCAACCGGAAGGAGTCCCTTTCAGCCTTCCTTTCTGCCTGTAAGATGCATTCAAGACACGCCTCCCCTTTTCTACTCTCTGTTCTCATCTCTCATTGTGATAAAAGGGCTGCAGCCAGGGAGGGGATGTTAGACCGAGATCCCTGCCGCCACCACACCTCATTTCCCTGTAAAACCAGGGAGTTGAAGAGGGTGAGTAACCCACCAAAGCGTGTTACCAACAGGATCCGAATCACTGCCCCTGATGGTAACAGGCTTCATTTCATTTCTTTGGGCTGGTAGCCCAACCAGTGCTAGAATTGTGCTGCTGTAGAAAGATGTCTTGCAAGGGTCTGGTAACAAGGATGTGGGTTTCCACACAGGCATGTGTTCAGATATCTGCTCGGGATAGCACCTTTGCTTTTGCATGTCTCTTTCTGCGCATGGTAATTGCTTATTCTCCCCAAACACATCGTCTTCAAGGGTAGGGACTACATGCTCCCCTCCCTGTGGCCTCCCGTGGTCCCAAGGGCAGCTCTGAAAGGTCCTGTGCTGAGGGCTTTGTCCTGGTACCTGTTCGAGCTTGGCCGTGCCCACTGGAAGCAGGATGAGCATGCTAAGAATATTGTTGACATAGGGCAGCTCCAGGACCTGTAGTTGTGCCTCCTTTATGAAAGCCAGTTTGAAGATTCCACTTTGGTACATCATTTCCACAGTCACACTTTTACCCTGTTAAAGAAAGAAAATGTGGTTCATTTGACAGCATGGCACAACTGTGTCATCTGTGCCCAGGCACAGCATAACCCAGACATCTGCAGTAGCACGATAGCACGCCCCCACCAAATCCTGTCATTGAGTAGATTCCCATTCATAGGTTCGAATAGCTATAAATCTTTTCAGAAGGAGGCAGCAGCATCTTTCTGCCTTGGAGCTGCTGATGGCTTTGAACTACAGCCCTTGAAGTAACCTGGAAGCATTCAAAAGCTTGGGTAAAATCAGAACTACTGAACACATCTTGCAAAAGCTGTTTTTCTGCCTTTTTTTTTTTAAGTAATAGTTCAAGTCTGAATAGTTCTAGTTCATATAGGTGATGTGACCTTCCTCAAAACAAAGCCAAGATTTTGAGCTACAGTTATTTATGGGTGGAAATAGCATCCTAGAATCTGATGCCATCATATATATATACATGTATTTTTTGAAAATCCAATTAGAGTCCAGAGACTCTCTAGAACAAAAATAATACAGAAGGGTGTGTGTGTGTGTGTGTGTGTGTGTGTGTGTGTTGCTAGAGAATTCAATGGCAGAATACAGGCAGTCCCCGGGTTACTAAGAAGACAATTTTCTATGTCGTTTTCCTTAGATTTCTATTGGGATTTGAGGTGGTTTGCCAAGGAAACCAGTTTTCCATTCAACAATTAATCTATATTTAATTTCATGCCATTGATTACAACCCAAGATAAAGTCTTAGAATGTTAACCATACTGTCCGCAGATCAACCCTACCAGCTGCAGTTGATGGGTTATAAGCTCCTGTAAAGGTGTGCAGGCTCATGAACCCAATGGAGCAGTGCAGCCTGTCCTAGGGGAGGGTGCATATGTGTCGGGATTGACTTCGTGGCAGTGGGTCTGGGCTCGGTGTAAGAAAAGGCTTAAAGCCGTTTCTTTCAGTTATTCAAAAGCTGCACACGCAAGTGAAGGTGATTATTACAGACAACTTGTGATTAAGGGTTGGTTCATGTGGTGTTTTGTTTTGTTTTGTTTAGCAAGGGCAAATTTTCATAGCAGTAAAGGGAAAGTAGAGTTGTCCCGACATTTCGTGTTCTTAACCCAGAGAGATTTAACGACAGACTGAAAGAACGCATCGAGAGTTGAACAGTAAGGAAAGAACAGGTTATCTGCCCTACCAAGGCTCCAGTTAGATGTCCAATAAGAAAAGTTACCGTCACTTCCCAGGGGGGAAATGGAGATCTGTGGAGAACACTGCTATAGAGTTGGGGATGCAAAGAGCTTCTACTGGACAACAAACCTAAGTTGGCAGCCCAGCCTCAGCCAGCACTGTGCTGTGGAAGAAAGGCTGGTGACCTGCTTCTGTAAAGACTGCCATCAAGGAGGGGTGAGAGATTGCAGCGAAGAAACCCTAGGGAGCAATTCTACTCTGTGACACATGGGGGCGCCATGAGTCTAAATGAACTCCTCCACAGCGATGGGTTTGGATTTTTGTTTCTTGAAACCCAGACTAGTGGTTTCACCAAAGCTTTCTAACTCACCCTGGAATAATGATTGAATTCCTCAAAGCCTCCCCTCCTCATTCAGAAGGAAAGACTTACCTCACTGAGCTCAAAGGGGGCCTTAGTGGTCTCTCTTTCCTGAAATTTATACTGCCATTGTCCTTTGAAATAGATGGCATTCACCAAGACCATGATGGAGGAAGGGTCAATTGTGCCCCTTTGAAAGAGGTCCGTGACTTTACCTGGGAATGAGAAGAGAGCAAACAAGCAGGAAGAAGGTAATTGTATCTGTGTTCCTGCTTATGGACCGTAGCGTTGACGAGTCAACGAGACCGCCGGTGCCATTGTTCTTTGGTTGCTGTCATGGTTGAGAAGGTACACAGCAAACCAGACACCGGTTCACTAGTTCCTATGGGTACATTCAGTGGTAACGTAATGACATGCTTTGAGCTGTATAACCTCGCCCATCCTCCTTTTTGGAGTTGCGCCTCCCCCACGCATATAACCCATTGAGCACTGGGTTCCTCTTGAGAAGAGTCTTTGCCGTCTGTTGGACCCCTAGAGAGAATTCCTGAAAAGAACACAACGCTCAGGGCAGGCTTTTTCCCCCTATTAGTTAAGCAAAATTAGAATTTAATTTTAAGAAGACTTCAGGGGATAGTTTGGGGGTTAACATTTAAAGAATGTCTCAGGGAAATGGTTTCAGATGTTCATCCAACCCTCCATGCCTCTGAAAAAAAAGCCATTGTTTTTCTAAGGCTGGTTATAAATTTGAAATGATCCCAAGAACTCCGTCTTCCAGCTGTAGAGCCTGATTTTATCAAATTAAAGTACTCCAAAGAATAGGGAAACTGACTTCATTCTAATCAGCAGATTTCAGGACAATACTTACTTACTTTCTTCAATAAAGAACCCCATGGAGGGACAAAGAACCCGTGGAGGGGTCTTCGCTAGATCACAAGTGATCGAGAAGAACCGTTTCTCAGACCACTGGAGGCAGAAAGAGGTGTAACAAAATGGAAGCCTTGGTGCCAAAATTCTTGACAAACTAGAAGTAGAAAATAATATCCTTAACCGGGAAAAAATGTCTTCATAAAAATACCCAAAACAAACTGTACTTAATGGTGAGTTGTCAAAATTTCTCCCTAAATTCAAATATAACACAAGGATCCCAACATCATCACATCTGCGCAACTGAAGGTCCCAGTCAATAAGGAAAGGGAAACAAAGGCAAAGAGATTACTAACGAAGATGATTGTGTGTATACCAAGCTAAAATAATTGAAAACTAAATTAGAATTGAGTCAATTCCTCATTGCTAGCATGCAAAAGTAAATTGTAAATTTGTATGTCAAGAAGTAAACATTTGAAATAATAGATAAAATGTAGCCAAGTTTCAGTAAATAACTCAAACACCCATAAACAAATTTTTCAAAAGATAATGCAAGACTCCAGCATGGAGAAACAAAAATTGCTATGTAAAGAAACTAGGGAGGGCCTAAATAAAGAGAGGTGAATTTCATGGTCATGGAATCCCTTTTTCAAAGATACCTCTGTGTATCAAATCGTTTTATAGACTCAATACTGAACCAATTAAAAGCTGTCTCCATGTCTTTCTTTAGTTGGTGATCTGCCTCCATCGGGTCCTGAGGAAGAGTTTCTCCATTTCCTTGCCAACATTCACTTGAGGAGTTATCCAACATAGGCCAGATAAGATGTGCAGACACGTTTGTGTGGTCTGATTTAGCCTTACCATTGGTTTGACTTTCAACCCAAGCGTTAATGGTTTGTCTTGCTTCTTCTGGAGAGTGTTCAAAATCAACAGTTTGCAGCCGGGCTCCATATATCTTCTCCGAACAGTTTAAGTATTGCTGTAAAAGAAAAATAATACTAATGATTACCAAAGATTACTATTGCTGTTGAGTTGATTCTGACTCACAGTGACCCTGTAGGACAGAGTAGAATTGGTCCCACAGGATTTCCAAGGCTGTCATCTTTGTGACAGCAGATTGTCATATCTTTCTCTCCCAGAGACACTGCTGATTTCCAATTTTTAAATTGACAGCCAAGGGCTTAACCACTGTGCCACCAGGGCTCCTACCAAAAAGATAGTATAAGGAACACATAGACCTGCTACTCAATATATTTTTAGAATAACACACAGACAAAAGCTCACAAAAGAAGCCGAGTGTGTGCATATTTATTTGATTAATAAAACCAGTAACCCTTACAAGATGCAGAGCCTTTCAAGAGGCATGCTCAGGTGAGTGCAGTGGTTGTTGGCTTTCCCACTCCTAAGAAGTTCAAAGCAAAGCAACAAATCGCAAGAAATGCAAACCATTTCACTCTGTCCCTTTCTCCTTTACAAAGCAGACAAGCAGGGTTACTACTCATGTTCTATAAAGAAAAACCAGAACCCGAGAAGCTAAGCCATTTGCTTCTCTGCCGTCAAGCAGGGTTGGTGGGAGTGCAAGGGTAGCCCGCAGCACCACAAAGGGAAGGCTTGGGAGTCCTGAATTCTTCTCCAGTGAAATATACCAACCTCCCCACGGGCCACCATACATAAACGTTGCAATAATAATTATACTCTATTGTACGGTAATTGTCATTTCTTCAATTCTACATGAAGTGTGAACAAAAGCACCTTAGCGAATGTCTTTATTTTTATTCACCTCTTATACATTATCCAAGCCAAACTAGGCATACATAGCCTGCGTGTGAAGAATCTGGCCCTCTTTTAACTAACTTCCCACCCTGAGACCACTGCCCGATTTCAAGACGGAGCTGTCATTGGTTACACCCACCGCCTCACCGCCAATACGGCGCCCAATCTAAATCTGCATAGACCCACATGGAATTGCTCATAACTCCACTGGACAACCTTTGGAGACACACCTTTATATCCCTGCAGGACCCAGAATCCCACTATGAACTAAGTAGGAAGACACAACAAATAGAAATAAAGATGTGACAGGGTTTGCCTGTGGTTTGGCTTGCCATTTGCCCAACTTTATTTTTTTTATATGCCTACAGCCAGTAGCTGTGGCTTCACAGGGAGGAAACTCTGGACTCCAGCGCGATTCAGAGGCTCTTGGCTGAGTCCACTCTCACCTCAATCACAGCAGGCTGATGCAGCGATTCGAAAGAGGAAGCTGGCGCAACTCCAAGAGTATAATCCAACTCACTGAACTGTACATGCAGAAACTGCTTAATTGGTAGATGCTTTGCTGTGCGTGTTCTCAACAACAAAGTGAATCTTTAAAAAATATTATTTTTTAAATTACACTAATTGAAACATTTTCAACATAGCATGCTGTAAGATCAAAATACAAAAATCCATTGGATTCTTGTATAGAAAAACAGTGAAACTGAAGAGGAAATTAAAATAGCAATGCCACTTACAGTAACTACCTAAAACGTAAAATACTGAAGAATAAATCTTAACAGAAATAAAAGACTTATACGAAGAAAACTATAAAGCACTTCTCCAAGAAACCAAAAGAGACCGACACAAATGGAAGAATGACCCATGCTTGTGGATAGTAAGACTTAATATAGTGAAAATCTCAATATTCGACTATTCAAAGTTTTTTTATATATTCAAATCTCAGCACAATTTTTCAGATAAATGGAGAAACGCATCACAATTGTTCCCATGCTTGAACCCCATTGCTTCAAACACGGTGTCAATCCATCCCCTTGAGGGCCTTCCTGTATTTAGCTGCCCTTGCACTTCACCAAACAGGATATCCTTCTCAAAGAACTTGTCTTTCCTGACAGTACGTGCAAAGTATTTAAGACAAAGGCTTGTCATCCTTGTCTCTAAGGGGCACTCTGGCCATACTTCTTCCAACACTGATCAACCAGTTTGTCCTTTTAGGAGTCCATGGTACTTTCAATATTCCTCTCCAGCAGGAGTAAGTTTTCACATTAACATCTTCATGGCTTGAAATGGAGTTAGCAAAACCATTTCATTGAATCTCTTAAGCTCAAACTCATTATCTGAAAGATGAATGCTCTGTGACTCTTCCCAGTCCTCGCGGGCTTTTGGGTGTGAAATTCAGAGTGCCAAGAAAGTGGCGGGCCACTACACCAGAGGGGCTCACCTGATGGAATGTCATCACCTTGCTCCCGTAGAGTCTGTTGGCAATGCTGAGGGTATAGTTGGAGTCTGGCTGATTGATTTGAGGGAACAGGGCTCCCAACTCGGAATGAATCCGTTCAGCTTGGAGGCACTGAAGTGTCAGCAAACAAAGAATGGTGCATTAATTGCTTATTTTCTCACCATTGGAGAGTTATTCATAAGTGATTTCAGTATCTAGAGAGCAAAGGGCTTCCCTCCAGATAAGAGGGCAGCACATACTAATGTAGGAATAGTTTCAAAGCCTCTTCTCTCTCTGGGTGTTCTCTAGCACAGCAGTCTCACCGTTCTGGTCTTCTGCTTGTTAGTTGTGTGCAGAATCATAGACGATTGTAAAAGACACATGCTCTTGTTGACCCTAACAGTTTTACCCAAACACAGAAGTTGACATAAATAAGGAAACCTAGGAGAGTGAGGCGAGCAGTTCTCTAAGTCTTCTTGCACCTTTGTGTCTGTAGAATCATGTCTCTTCTTGTTCTCAATATTTTTCAATGTTTCTGTTTAATCAAACTCAGCAGGAATGCACTCAACTGACCTCCCACCCCATCTGGACATCAACAACAGCAGCTCTACCATACATTCAGCTTTGATGAATCCAAAAGATGGCTCAAAACCATAGACCCTATAGGGATCGACCTATGTTCCCTAGGGGAAAGATGGAGCTTCCTACAGTTACAGTCTCAGAAGCTCACAGAGGCGCTTCTGCCCTGCCTTACAGGGTTGCTATGAGTTGGCATCAACTCAATGGCAGTGAGTTTCTTTGATTGTTTATTCATTTGCTTTTTTGGTACGCTCCCTAAAGCAATCCTTCCCAACCTGCAGGAATTAATCTCCAAATAACAAATCAAGTTTTGACAAGTAATGTTCTGTAAATTGATATGCATTTGCATTTAGTTTTATTTTTCCACACAATTGCAATTTAGCATGCAGCTGTTTGCATGTGGTAGTTCTATATAATTTTACGGCAGAAGGAGTCCACTGACTGTAAAGGAGGAACCATAGTCTCAGAGTTTAGGGGTTGAGAGGCCATCGGGCCAGGTTTGCCAGGCCCGATGTGTGTGTGTGGCCAAGCATCGGAGTCCTATCTTAGTCCCCACTATACCGAAAAAATTCTACCACTGCTTGGATGAGGATGGCAGACTCAACAAGGGACATAGTTCATAAAAGAACTGAAAAGTTTGGGTAAGAAGAACAATAAATAAGATAATAAAAATCTGGAGGACTTTATTAGTGTGATTACATTAAACTCTGCAGGCTGTAGTAATTATTGAGAAGATGAAACAAGAAGACAAAAGGAAACATTGCTAGCCAAGCAGGGACCCCACTCAACACTTGAACTATCATTTCTTGGTGCTCTTATTGTGAAAGTTCATTTCACATCTCGACTGTGATAGCCATACCTTAGATGAGTCCTGAAAATCTGATTTTAATGGTCCGACAACATGATTAAAGTGAAGCACCTGGAGAAAATACAAAGGGATCAATTGGCATGAAAGGAATGTTCAAGTATCTCTTTTTCCATTTTAGATAGAGATCAATAATGATAGCTTGCATTTAATAATGCTGTATTCCAATTCTTGAATTAAGTCTTTATATAGCTTCTATTATTTACCCCTCCCAACCACTTTATGAGTACTCCATTGTGTAGTTAGAGAAAGTGAACTCAAGAGAGACTAAACAACATGTCCAAAGTCATTGTCTCTCAGGTCCCAGGGACTGGGTTCTTTTTTTCTTCTCCAGCTGTTCCCAGGTTATTATCTAGGTTATTATCTAGGATGGCACCCATCTGGAGCTGTGTAAGACCTTAATGATTTCCAGCATCAATATCTAAAATATCTATTTTAAGTGCAAAAAAACATGACAAATAGAGAAAATTATAACCTTTTTAATTATCCTAAGATTTGTTTAGTGACATATTTATTAACTTTCTATAGCCATGAAAAAACAGAAATAAGGAGGCTGGGGAATCACAGAATACCATTCTATGTCACCTGAAAACCTTCCTTTTGTCTCCATGTTCTCTTCCATGAAAGCAGTGTTATAAAGTTCTAATGTAATAATGAATACTTGCAAAATAACATGCTTGCTAACTTTGAAAGTGTCCTGCAAATGTAAGTCGTGAGGCCTTATCATTTTATCTACAAAGGGAAAGACATGAGCCACACCTATGTTCTTTTTCACACAGACTCCGTGAGAGGAGGAACTCCACACGTGAACTGTGGAGACGTCCTTGTGGCACTACTATGTCATGGCATCACTTCAGCTGTTCCCCATGCTCAAGAAATAAGCTTGGCTCAGATAGAGCCTGTCTCCCGGAAGCTGGCTATTTCTTGGGGTAAAGATGCACAGTGGCTGACTCAGAGTGGGTGCCAGGAAGCTTTCCACGTTGGGGGCACAGTCTTGGCTGCACTCTGTACCTTCTCCATTTGCTCCGCACTCCGGGTTCGGGCACCGAGGAGGATCATGCTTAGGGCGTAAAGCAGACTCAGAGGAGAGAAGAAGATGTTGTCTCCGGCACTGTGGCTGTTCAGCTCTTTGAACACATCGAGGCAGAACTCCACGTTGGCTGTGCTGAGGGAACCCATCGTGTGACCAAGCACGGCCTGCGAGGAGCAGGGAGGACAAAATCAGAAACTGCTCACAGGTACAAACCCTATGTCAAGTTCAGCTATCACACTTAATGAAGGTAAGGGTCACAGCACATGGTTTATGGAAAACTGCGCCCTCTTGCCAGGATTTCTGATTGAATGCTGGGAGGGAAAAATCACAGTATCTTTAGCTTCTAATGTATAGAGATGCACCACTCCTCTTAAGCAAGTTTACAGCTATCTCACAGTTATGTGTAGACAGTTTTAAAATAATCCATATTTGTTCTGGAGGAACAGGATTGGCAGAAGGGATGGCTCTTTGTGCTCCTAATTGGTCATGCGTTAAGGCATTCCTCAACCAGGAATTTGGGTTGGAAAATCTTGAGACACACGAGCTTGGCCAGCCCAAATATTTTCCCACCTTCCCAGCCTCACAGACCAGCTCCATACCAATCGTTCTTGCACAAAAATAGCAAGAGTTGATTAATAAAGTTTGCACAAAGTTACCTGCATATTTTTATCTCCTTCATAGGATCCCATTCCCTGTGACCCTCCACAAAAAGTATGGCAACACTAGCAAGCCAGTCCTACCATGAGGACACGGGACATTCAGCAGCAAAAGACCTGGGTCTGGGTCCCCGTCAAGGCACCTGACACATAGCCACCATCTGTCTGTCAGCGGTGACCTGTGTGTCGCCATGAGGCTGACCAGGTTTCAGCAGAACTTCCAGACTAAGAAAGACTTGGCCATCTACATCTAATAAGTAGACAATAACCATATCCACAACCAACCATGGGCATGGCACGAGACCAGGCAGCATTTCATTCCCACTGAACTTGGGGTCAGCAGGAGTAGGGGACGACTTTGATGGCAGCTAACAAATAAATCGGTCCTATTCTAATAAATGATCCAAGCCCTCAACCCTGGGCCCTAGCCCAGGCATGACGTCAGTAACAGTGAAGGAATGGGAAAGAAAACCCTAGGGAAGAAGAGGTGCTGGGATTTGCATTAACTGGTGGCAATAGCATGTCAGGAAGAAAACGTTTATTCCATGCAGACCCACATGTATTTATTTATTACTCCCTACCACTAACTGTTGGGAGCTGTAGGTCGGTATAAAACTGATCAAGCCTGGTTGCTGCCCTCAGAGAGCTTTCATTCTTTGTTTCTTCAACCTCCTCAACCAGGGACCATTTCTTCCTTTAATTCCCAGATCCCTGTTGTTTCTTGGTTCACCTTTAACCTCCCTCCATGGTCCCACCTTCCTTCTCAGTCTCTTCTGCAGGATTTTTCTCATGATTTCAAGCCCTCCACATCATCATGAAGACCTTGAGCGGGCAGACAGCTCGTGTGCTTAGCTGCTAACCAGAATGTTGGAGGTCCCAGGACACCCAGAAGTGTCTTGAAAGAAAGGCCTGGGGTTCTACTTTGGAAAAACCAGTTATTGAAAACACAGCCGAGCACAGTTCTACACTGACACACATGGAGGGTCCATGAGTGAGAATTGACTTAATGGCAACCGCTGTGGGTTATGTACATCACAGTCCACCAGGATCCAGCATGAAGCCTCTTCTTCATGTCCAGCCAGCCTGTAGGGACCTCGTCCAAATCTGTGCTTTCAATGTCACTGAGCCTCTGAGATCCTGAATTGATAACATCCCTGAATTCCAGACTGCCTATTCATCCTCTACACCTGAATGTCTAACTTAGCACGTCCAAAGTCTCAGATGTAATATGTCCAAAAATAAATGCTTGCTTTCCGAATCCCTCTCTCTGCCATCTCCCTTGGGTTCTTGCAACACGTGAAGCACATTCTGCCTCGGGGTCTTTGCTCTTGTCATTTCTTCTTCTGGGATCTTCTTCCCAAAGCTGTTTAAATGGCTCACCCCAGCGGCTCTTTCTCTCTGTCCAAATAACATCTCTTGGAGGATTTTTTTTATTGCCTTTTATATGAAATACCAGGGCAAGTCGAAAAAGCATGGCTACAAAATCATAAATATTTTTATTAAACAAAATCTCCAAATGATTTCCCTACAGAGCCTCTACTGAGGTCCATGTGGTCCTGAGAGTGGTATTTCCACCTCTCACCCTTCCCTCACAGTGCTCAGAGCTCTTCGAATTCCACCCTGTCCAAGTAGCCACTCTGGCGTCCTTGAGAGAGTCCAATCATGTTCCTTTGAAAGGCTCGTTGAGTTTTCAGAATTTAAAATATAAAAAGGCTAAGGGGGGACATCAGGCCTGCAAGATGGATGGGGTAAGGTTTCCCAATGAAATTTCTCATAGGACAGCCCTTACGATGCTCAGAGAATGAGCAGGCGCGTTGTTGGTAGGGAAAAAATTCCTCAGCACTCCTTGTTCTCACCAATGCAGTTTTCAATTTTCATAGAACTTTTTTACAAGAGCCCCTATCGTTGTCCTGTGTCATTCAAGAATATCTATGGAGCTATCCCTTTGGAATGCCAAAAACAAACAAACAAACAGTCACCCTAACCTTCTGGGGTGGTTCCCTTGCCTTGACTGTAACTGGCCCAGCAGAGCCCACTGAAAACCACTCTTTGGATTGAACCTTTTGGTTGAAGGCACAAAAATGAGACTGAGAAGTGTGTTACTGAGATAATGTGTGTACATCCATCCACTGATGGCACAGGCACGTTTTGTTTAGAATACAGGTGTGCATGTACAAACTACAATCCTAGTAGCAACTTATCCTCATCTATGGAAGAAGTAAAAATTCCAGGTCTTTTACAATTTGGAATCTAACTAATAGGACCCAGTCCATTTCTGGGAAGAGGAGCTTATCAGAGGCAGAAATCCCAGGGTGTACAGAATCCTATCAGAGATACATGAGCCACAGAAGAGACCCCATCCAATGGGCAAGAGGCATCTGGATGAGTTCTGGAAGTAGAAGAGCTTCAAAGTGAACTCCCAACAGAGAAATAATTGCAGAGACTTCCCTGAGGAGAGTCTAGAGGTGTGTTTCTACAGGAAGAGAGTTAACCTGCCAAGAATGAGAAGTATGTTACTTGCATTATTGTGATGGGGGGTGGGGGGTGGGGGGAATCTGCAGAGGAATTTCTCACCAATGCAGTTTTCCATTTCCCTAACCTTCTTCCTTGGAATAAATCTGCATGATTCGCCTGGGTCCTTCGTGAACATCTGTTAAGTTACCCCTTTGGAATGCCAAAGAACATCTGGAATTTGTCATAGAAGAAGGATATCCAACACGGTATCCTTTCTAGACCGAAAAGACATCTTCGAAAGTGAGGCAATGTGAGGAGGGGCTATGTCTTAGCCGGGGCCATTGGTAGTAAGCAGACAGGTCTGTGTCTGTCATCAGGAAACTACATCTTCAAGGGGAGTTACCAAGTCCTGATAAGCAAAACACCAACCGTCTGGGTAGATTCTGTCCCTTTTGTCAAGAGTCCTCTGTCCTGACTCACCTTCCCCCTCCCTTTGTGACTACCCCCCTACCCTGCATCACAGCTATCCTTTACCTTCAGGGAGCAATCCCCTCTGCCCTTCAAATCTTTCAAAGTTCATGCTCATTGT